AGGAAGAAGCGTAACTGGGAGAATGCTGTCTGCTGCCTTCTCCAGCAGGAAAGACCTGATATTTTAAAGAGAGAAAATGAGGCATTTTTAGAGTAAACAAATCAAATAAGGTTTCATATGAAGCTTTAAAAGTTATCAGTGGAAGTGGGATAGAACCACAGCCCAGAGACTTTGTAGCCAGGCGCACAGCGAGAGTAGATTAGTCTTTTTTAGCTAACTTGTCTTCGCCCGCCATTTTAGAACGAAAACCCAGCATTCAGATCCGGACCCAGTTGGCTGTAAGTCAGCGTTACTTGACAAAGTGATTTACCTGTACTTCACCCTCAGTCAAAGTCAAGTCCGTGGATGACATAACCAGGCGACTGTGTATATCCTCAACTGGAAACAATAACTACGAACACTGGACTTCTGATTAAAAAGGTCACGAGTTCGAGCCTCGGGTGCAGCGCCGCTTGGGGTTGGGTATGACTGGTTGACTGGCTAATGAGTCATAGGTGGCCATTCCAGTCTCTATTGCCTTTGCTGGGAATGCAATCTCCCTCAACTAACAGCCGCTGTGCTGCTGCTGAAGGGGCTCGTTCTCGAGTGAGTTCCGTTAGCGATCAGTCAACGTTCATCAACGAGTGTCAATAATTATTTCCCCTAGGGTTAAGTGCCCAGATGAACCGGACTCAAATCTTGGCGTTGGAGGATGGCAGGCTAGCGAGGAAATTTCTTTTTTTGAATGGACATTAAACTCGTACTTGTCGCAGGTAAAAGGAGACCACGTGGAGTATTATTGCAAAAATATACAAAGCCGGAACTTATCAGAAGATTCGAGCATTATCTTAGAAGATACCTTTACGTACCTTCCCTTCTGGTGGTCTTAAACCTAATTAGTAAAAAAGGAGTGAATGTTGTCCATCACAATATAAGGCTAGCGTCCCATTGCCGCACAGACCCAAATCAATTAGTCCATGGGAATTATATCTCCGGCTCAAGTAGAAACTGCCAAGGGTTGCAGATCATGCCGGTGGAAACGGTTGGACCGCCGTTTCAACGATTTTCATTGGTGGGCGCAGGGACGGTGACTGGCACGGTAATTAGTTTATAGTGAGAGTAGACTTGCATTGCATCTGCCTCACACACATTATCTTCCTCATCCACATATGTCTAGGCAGTTGGCGCAGTTGGTTACTGCCACGTGAACTTGCACCAAGGCCTGTCACTAAACCCTCTGGTGTGCGCACAAGAGCCTAGCATTTCACGTAAACCTAAGAGGAGGACGGTGCCATAAGAGTCCTTTTACGAAAAAGCCCTTGCAGCTTGATTCTCCGGCCTTGGATCGAAGTTATCGCGTCAGTTGGTATTCGGCTTTCAGCGCACCCTGATAGATCCATTTGCGTCAGACATTTTATACGGTTATACAGTTGATATTATGAGCCGGCCTATTAACTGATACTTTCAGAACCAAAAAGCCCGTCTGCATTCATGAGATAACGGTCTCCTTTGAAATCATTTATTTGTTTATATTCATACCACTAGATTTAGCAAGACACAAACAAAGTCATATAGAATTTGAAAAATAGGCATTCCGAGAAATATAATTTGATGGAGAAATTCTTCGGGAAGAGTCGCGAATTTTTAGAAGCTATCAAGTCCGACGAATCCTGCATCTACAGGCATGTTGAGTTGGATTCAATATACACCAACCTTAAAAAGGCCTGGAAAATAGACCAACCATAAAAGCAGGCTAATGACCACAGCTGACACAGCATTATCGATTTTTCTGACACGTTTAAAAATGTGAACGGCTCCTCACACTATTTCCTCACGTTTGAAGACGACCTAGCGTGCTAGTGTCGAAAATTTACAAATAAAGTTCGTTACCGTTTCCCGAAGAATTTCTCCATCAAATCAAAGTCATATAGGCTTACGAAACGAAGGTTCCCGTAGCTGCCTTGATTTAAGTCATAGAACTTTATTTTGAATCTAATACTACCAACACTTAAAAGGAATTCCAGTGGGATTATCAATATCTGAATTCCTAGCCGAAGTAGCAATGCAAAGGCTGGAAGCAACGGCTCTTGACCCCAAGTTGTGGGTAAGATATTTTGACGGCACATATGTTGTCATTAAAAAGGACAGTCTAAAAACGCTCCACAAAACTATCAAGTCAACTATTCCGGGAATTACATTCACGCTCGAGAAATAAGTTTGCAAAAGACTCTTATTTCTACATATTCTGGTACAGTAAAGGACTGACAGAACATTACACATATCCATTTACCACAAAGGAACATATGCGGAAGTTTTTCTTCACTATGAGAACAACGACCCAATGTCTCACAAAAGGAATGCCATCATTAGTCTGCTACATCGCTCTGAGGAAAACACCTACCAAGTCGAGCTAAATTATCTGTTTGGTTTATTTTCCAAAATGGTCACCCCAGAGACTTCGTACATCAATGCATGAAGAAAACAAAATTCCAGAGAAAAGGAACTAGAATTCTCTCTTCTGTACAAAAATGGGTCTGAACTCGTTGAAGGCACTTGCGGAAACACGAAATAAAAGTGGCTCAAAAACTGACGACTACTTCACGCTCCAGGTTGTACGCACTCAGGATAAGGTTGGCTATCTCAATTAGAAAGAAGTCATCTACAAGATCCCATACGAGGCTTGTGATACCACATATTGTGGCCCAACAGAAAATTCCGCCTCCACAAGCATCCAAGAACATCAACTGGCTGTGACGAGGCGTGGCCATCCGTCTCAAGTGGCCACGCACAGCCTTGACACAGGACACACCTTCGCATGGGACAAAACTCGCATTATCGGAGTTTGCCCCTCCAAAAAGCCAAGAATTTCTTGAGGCAATACACTCCGATGACTTATGCATCAAACGGAATATTAAGTTACATGTCGTGTACAAAAGTATCAAAGGTAGGTGGAAGAAACTAGAAGCGATCGATTCAGACCAACGCAAACGACAGCCACTAAATTAGCGCTCACACCAAATAAATATTGCTTTTTTTCAGTTCTGTAACCACTAATTAGCGTTCACGCCAGATGTGTATTGATTTTCTCAGTAGTTATGAAATTTTAACTCTTCTTTGCACATTTACTCACGTCTGAAGACGACCTGGGGAACCAATGTCGAAATGTTGCCCAATAAAGTTGCCTTGTTTTCCTAAAGAACATATTTGCCTTAAAATCATATTATACTATATATACTGGCAAAGGTACGTACTCTGTAGGGCAACGGCTGCCGGACGTTCTCTCTCTCCGGTGTTTTCGGTCGTTCGAGGGAGCAGCGTCGACTCTGTCGAGAGAAGAGGGATGGGGGAACTGGCGGTTCTGGAGGGTGTTGTGGCCGGCAGTGGCCTGGTCTCGGGAGCGCCAAAAGTTGTCCAGGCGAGGGAGACTTTCTAGTACGTATGAACTCTGCCGGCGGAGTGGAGACCGCGGCTACATCTCGGGAATACGACGCCCCTGATGGTGATACTGGCG